GATTACTTAATACCCGCTCTAATTCCCGTAGAGAATCGCCGAAAGTATCCTAGCTTCTAGTATTCTATTAGATAACTAGTCTTATAGTATCTAAAGTATAGTATAGTCTAACTTACACCGACTATCTACGTTATTCTATAACAATTTCTTATAATCTTCACGCCGCGATAGAGGATTAGCTTTATTCTCTCTTCTAGCTTTATATAAGATTTTAAAGTTAAATATTAATATCTACTTAGCCTAATATACTTATCGGCGATTAAGGACCTTAGTTAATATAAAGTAACGTAGATTTACGTAATCTAATAATAATTTAATCTAATATACGGAGCCTTCTAAATAATATTACCATTACTTAAAACTCTTAATAATTATAAGTAGTTCCTAGTTATACGTGTTATAACACGTCTCTATATCTACTATTTTATAGAAAAAGAAAGCGACCAGGTACTATTACACCTTATCTTTTATATCTTTATATAGTTAACTAATAATTCTAGTAATTACGAATTCTAACGCGTTAGTTTCGATCTAAATATACTTCTCGGGATTAAAATACCTAAGAATCGGCGTAGTTATAAAGTAATTCTTTAATAATCGGAACGTATCTCGCGCTTCCGGCGTTAACTATATCTCGACCGACTTAGCTTTACGCTATACTCGCCTATCTATAGGGATTTTACCGCTATTCTCTATAAGTTTATTAAGCGACGCCGTAATTTATAAGAAGCCTATAATAAATTTATAATAATAGTTCACGAAACCCATAAATATTCTAATTTAACGTATAGTAGTAGATTCTAGCTATTCTATAATAGTCTTTATACGCTCCGGCTCTATTTTTAGGCCGCTATATATTATAATAAAGCCGAGAAACCTAACTTCTTATTAGTAAAACTTATATTTAGATAATTTTATATAGAGTTTATACTACCTTAGACGATTTAGTACCGATTTCACGTATTCTTTATAATTCTATATACTATCGGAGTAAATTAGTATATTATCAAGATAAACTACGTAAATCACGTTAAGTAATCCTACGAGTATAGTATTAATATATTCTTAAAACGCTCCTAGCGCATTTATTAGCCTAAATGGTATAATAGTATACTTAAAATAACTATATCTAGTCCGAAATGCGGTTTTCCACTTATCTCCGCGACGAATTTAAAGCTAGTAATATATATCTCGTAAATCTAGCTTTATAAAGTACTTTACCTTTATTAATTAGTCTAAAGATTTACTAACTAGCGGTAATAGATAACGATTCTTCTTAGTTACCGTATTTAGTACCCGATAGTCGACGCATAGATATAAACTTCTATCTTTCTTCTTTATAAAGAGAATAGATATACTAGCTAATAACGTACTATAACGTATCTAGTCTCTTCTAAGATATTCTTTAATATATTTATAAAGAACTTCGAGTTCTAGTCTCGAAAGTAGGTAAAGTAGACTATAAGGGACGTCTACTCTCTCTTCGAGCTTAATCTTAAGCTTATATAGCCCGTAATTAGGGAGAAGTAACGTATCTTCTACTAAAAACATATCCGTATACTATGAATATACGTTAGGTAGCGTGTCTTCGCCCTAATTATTACTATTATTCTTATCTTTATTAATAATCGATAAGAACGTAAGATAGATTAGTAACGATCGGGTCCGTATAGTAAGGTTCTATATCTCCTTACTAATAGTTACGACTTACTAGTATAATTTACTATAGTATTATCGGAACGTTAATATCTCCTTCTAAAAATTAAGAATAGAGTTTAGATATCTAAGCTAAGGCATCCCTAGAATCATATTCTATTAGCTAATATTAGCTATAATAAATTTATTAGACATCTACTATTTTATTATCTTTAAGTTATAAACTTTATAATTCGTTATAGCTTTATCTAAAGTTCTAACTTTATATCTATTAACTATAATAGTTTAGCTAACTTTACTAAGATCGTATAATAATCTATACTCCTTTATAAGAATCGACGAAATATAATTATCTTCTATACTAGTGTCTACGAGGGCCTATATAGTTTTATTACTATTTACTATAGATAATAATACTTTTAGTAATATTAGGTCTTTACTTACCGGAAGGCGCTACGGCTCCTCCTAAGTATATATAATTTAGCTAAGGACGCGGTTAGATCTCGTGTACTAGCCTATTCTTTTTTCGGATTCTTATAGTTAGGCGAAATATATTCTATTTCTCTATACTTATAGTAACGAAGTATACTATAATCCTACTATTTTATAATAGGCGTTATATTTAAGCCTATGTATTATCCTTTTCCGTGTTAAGAAGTACCGCCTTAATTATTTTAGTATTCTCTTAACACGTTTCTACCCCGATTTATACTCTTCTAGTACTAATCGCGGTAAGGTTACTCTTAATTAAATGTATTCGATTAACCTCGTTTCTAACCCGTATAGGGTTCGTTGGTTTTACCTAGAGAGCTATATTTCTTAAGAATACGGTAGTATTTATTAGCTTTCTCCTCTAATTCGTGTAGATAGTTAAAACTTAATAATACTATTTCTAGTCTTTCGCGGATTAACGGAAGTAGTACTTCGCGAAACTAGAATATATAAATATTTTTCTATAGCATAGGGATATTATTCTATAGGTTTTAGAGGTATTATAGTAGTTAAGTAGATGTCTAGTTCGGTCGTTATACCACGCTTCTTAACTTAGATAGTACCTTTCTTTTACGTTCTCTATCTATTCCGAGGGTATTTAGTATAAATATAGCTAAATATTCCTAGGTTATCGTAGATAGTAGCTATACTTCCTTCTATCTATCCTATTAATCGCGGGATTATAAGCCTAGGTATCGTTCTCCGAACGAAATACGTTATACTTTAGTAGAAAAGAGTAGAGAGTTATCGAGGAAGTACTTTTCGTAGTCTCTCTTCTAGTCTTTCTACTCCTTTTAGTTCTTCTCTATAAATATAGTCGGGTCTTTAGATTTTAGTATACCTAGGGAAGGAGTAGGGTAAATTAGTAACGAAGCGGCCGGGTATATAGTAGATTATTATAACTCTAATGGTAGGTAAACTAATTCCGCCTAAATTAGTATAGGAAGTTATCTACCTACTATCGTTCGGCGTAGTTCTTTAAGAGACTCCTTAAGTTCTCGTCTCTTTACGAGGAGTTTCACGCGTTCTATCTATTCTTTAAGGGTTTAAATCTCTCGAGCCTAATTCGCGATATATTTCTAAAGTTTAGCGATAGTTTATTATAATACCTCGCGTGGCTCCGCCATGACTCGTTGTCCGGCTTTATATTATTAGAAGTTACTTAGTATATCTACTATTTCTTCGTCTAAAAGCTCCGTGATTTAGTCTAATATTTCTACTTCTTAGTTAGAAACGGCTAGGATTAATACTAATTATAGAGGATCCCTATTATTTAATATAGTATTACTTATCCCTATAGTAGATTATATTAACCTTCTCGGTTCTAGTTAGACTATCTTAACTATAGTACTATATAGAGAGTAATTCGAATATAAGAATAGGGTTATTAGATAGTAGTATAGTTAGATAGAATAATAGGGTGTATTCTATTATAGAACGAATTACTACTAAACCCTTTTAGTAGAAATCTAAGAGTATATATATAAAGGGACGCCGATCTATCTAGTACATAACTATTTACCGCCCTTCACGTTACCTCCTAACCCTATTAGCTAAGGTATATGTAGGTCGGGTCCTATCTAAGGCTAAGTCCTAATACTATAGGCCTATACTATATTCTTTTATATATTAAAAGAATAGCTTCTTTATAATAGAATATTATAAGATTACTACTACTTCTTAAACTTAAGAATATAGAAATTATATTATAGATCTCTCTACTAATTAATATATTAAGATATAAGAACTAACTTATATAAATAATCTAAAGTTATCTACTATACCTATAGTAAGATAGACTATATAGTACTTAAGTACTATTTAGAGAAACTACTAAGTACTAATATAACTAACTAATTAGTTATATATTATAAGTACTAGTAGCTAGAATATATTATATCTAACTATCTAGTATAGAATATAAAAAACTAATAGTCTATAAGAAACTCTTATAACTTATAGATATAACTATAATAGAGAGATAACTAGCTAAATAGTATATTAAACTATAGGCTAGATCTATTAAGGTCTCTTATAGATAATATTAGACTATAATACTTAATAGTAGTTTAGCTACTAATATTATATTAATCTAATAAGTATAAGAACTTAATATTAATATATAAGCTCTAATAGATACTATATTCTATAATATTAATAGTTCTATTAAGTTATATAGTATCTATACTATTAAATATAGTATCTAGAATAGTAGAGAGAAATAGAAACTCTACTACTCTATCTTTATTATAGTAGATAGTCTCTTTAATATAATTCTAGATATACTATAGCTTAAGAAATATAATCTAAAACTAGACTTTCTTAAGAAGATAGCTAGCTAGTATATAAACCTATTTTAATAGAAACTAGTATAGCTTATTAATAATAAATAATTCTAGAAGAATTATAATAAGATAATCTCTACTCTATCTATATACTCTTACTTACTTAAAATAGTAAGCTTAGTATTAAAATAGATAAAAACCTACTATATTAGTATAAAATATACTAATATATTATATTAGTAATTAATTCTTCTAAACTACTCTAATACTAATCTACTAACCTTACTATTAATCTTAAAGATAGCTACTACTAAATTCTTTTAGTAGAAATCTAAGAGTATATATATAAAGAGGCGCCGATCTATTTAGCACGTGACCGTTTACTACTTATTATACTATCTTCTAACTAAGGTACGTACGAGTCTAGCCGTTACCTAAGGCTAAGTTCTAATAGTTAGTACCCTGCCTTAGCTTTCTCTATCACCTGATTTTTAATCATGAAACTACCTTAAATTCGCAGCGACATACCGCATAATGTCGATAGACCTTTCTGCCTTATCCTAGTACCAGATACAGAGGTTTTTCACCTAGAACACTTCTGTCGTGCAGTAGGAATGCGACGCATTAGCCCAAGAAATAACTGGCGGGCCCGTTACCCTAACACCGTCTTAGGGCGTAACTAGTTACACCGTTAACGGTGGGACACATGTCATTCAATTTCGAGATTAGAATTCGCCTCTCGACTTGAAACTACTCTAGGCTATTAAGCAAGCCTACTAGGGCTTTGTACCACATCATAAATATCATGGTACCCTTGGCAATGTCTTTGTTTATATCATGAACAATATTAGGGGGACTTGTATGTATCTAGCCAGATCCGAGCTACAGAGCGACAACTACTACCTCCTACGATCCACCATCGACGACTACGCAAGGCTCGTTTACCCTTCTTTTTACACCTTGTAGCTACACAGTTAGCTAATATAGCCGGGGTAGATTCTTCGCCTTAGCATATCATAACACGCCTAAGAACATGGAACGAGCATCTACCGACCAGCTCTATTACAATTATCTATCGCAACTCCAGCGACTTCGTGGAGGACTTCCCAAGCGCTTTCGCTCGACGCTTAATAATCTTATCCTATGCCTCCCGGATCTCTTTGCCGATGACTAGCCATTTACGCTTAATCATGATAACCTTCTCGATAATAATATTCACGTGAACATAGCTACGGGCAGAATTATAGGCATCTATGACTAGAGCGGCGCCAAGTTTAGTCCATATGGAATGTCGCTAGGGGGACTCGAGACCATGCTAGGGATTCGAACTATATCTAGGGACTGTTAGCGTTACCACGCCAATCACGAAGAGCTCCGCGATCTTTTTTGGCTCCGGTTTTACTACTATCTAGGAGGTGCGTCGGACGTGACGAAGCGGCTCATCAAGGCCGCAAGACTTATTGGTCTGTTCCTAGATAATGGCTTTTAGCAGGGGGAGCTGGCCACAGGGGACAGCGAGGACTTGCGATTTCTCGGTGCTATCGTTCTATGATAATGTCTAGCGAGTTTCTTGTCGGGTCAAATTATTTGTTGGGTTTTAGTCTGAAAACCGATCACTGCATACTCGTGTATATGTGTACGAATGGAAGACCCCGTTTGACACAATGGTTTGGCGGCTTGAAACTCGCTCACGTCAATGTACTACAAACCTCTGTACTTCTCACCCCTACACCCTTAGCAGTACCTTCCAGTCAAGTATACCTTCGCCCTGTTCTTCGTCGTGTCGCACCGCAAGCCAGGGGAACATGTGCAGTCTAGAATATGGACCTAACGGAAACTGTTACGGAGAAGTTTTCATGCAGTAAAAGCGAGATGTTAAGACACATACATGACATATCTCCTTTCCTAACTTATCATACCTAAGAGATCTTCTATGACAATTTAGACTGGGCTTTGGGAGTCTCTTATTGGCGCATTAAAAGTAACAAGGCCGCACACATACTTCATCCGCCACGAGATCTGGTCCAATAAAAACCAACACACAACATTCGCATTTAAACACCTGGTAGCCAAAGATTGGCGATGGAGCAATACATTCGATAATTTCGAGGACAAGCGAACATTGGTATTAGGATCGGGCGATGAAGACGACACTAACTACCTCTACCAACTTGGAACCGCAAGCTACCTCGATTAATGAAATTGTGGATTGCGCAAGTTCATCTATGTGTGAACCTAACAAATTTACGTCTGCCGAATTACCAACTTGTGTATCCACGCGCTTATTTATACGTACTAGTTCGTTCCCATTACTGGAATCATCGTCTACCGAATGGTTGATTCTTGTGATGCGATTTGGAGCAGTCAAGCCTTGATGTATCCCTGCTGGACGAGGGCAGTATTGAGAAGCTGAGCAGTGATGGGCTCAAATGTACCGAGTTGCTAACAAAACGAACGACTTTCAGGCTAGCTAACATGCATCTCTGCAAACAGAGCGACCATCTTATGCTTGGCTGCATCGCGGAACATCCTCACTTATGTACGTCTCCTCGCTTGGAACGTCTTTCGCGCTCCATGAAGATTAGTTTCTCCTTTGGTCGACTGGCAAATTCCTCCGAAATCGCCTCTACCACGAACTCCTGTTTAGGTTCATACCCATATTTCTTGTACAGTCTCTCCGCAGCTATGGTGGACTCAGTAGTGATCTAGATAGCATAATATTCAGTAATGCGCGCTTGGAATACAGCTCGTTTCTTACAAAGGCATCGAGCTTATCAGCTAACTCGTTGTAGTAGGCTATCTGTAGAGATGCAGCCCCTTTGCTTCGGTGCTTCTGAGTAGTTCCCATAATGTTTAGACCTATTCCGTTAGTATCGAGCTATTACTAGTATTCGTATGCATAACTCACATATGATCGGGGCATGTACATCATCCTTAGCATATTTTGCCTCCCTAGGCGCGATGAAGTTCTTAAACATCTCGATAGCATACTTCTTCTCTGTCTCGTCCTTCCATGCTTTAGGAGGGCCATCAAGGTGCATCGGTGGGGGCTTCTCCGAGTCTTTGTAGTACACGTTCCACTGCGAAGCTAAGATAATCTCGCCAGTGCTTATGTCGGTGACTTTCCACCATTGGGTACTCGGATCAAGTACATCGCGTAGGTATTCGAGGCGAGCGACGACCATGTCAAGGCCATTGATACCATCCTCAGTCAAAGTATACGGGTAGATAGCATTAACGAAGGCAGACTCGCTATCATAGGCTTTGAAAAGCATATTAATAACATCGCGCAACTCGTGCTTTTCCACGGGGCTAAGTTCAAAGGACATTCTGACTGAGCTAATAGATTGTGAGGAGAGGATGTGTGGAATGTCAAGTGCAAGGTTGGCTCAAGCCTTTAGGGAGCTGGGCAAGACGTCACTTAAATATGCATTAGTGTGGCACATTCATCATTGAGGCGACACGTAGTGGCCTAGCTCTTGGAACCTTGAGAACTTAGCCTTGTAATTCAACTTTGATGGTGTTCCATGTTTAACAGAATGAGTATCGCTGTGCAATTGAGTCAATGCACGGAAAGTGGAGCCGACTCTCCTGCAAACAAAGGCTTTACAGGCTTAGATGGCGCTCTACCTGCACCGTCTATGAGCAGGCGCTCTATTAATTATTCTATGGATGAAGGTCCCGTGTTCTGCGGCACAGCACTAGCTTTCAGGGCATCCTTGATTGCCGCCGACATGATCTCTAGTCCCTCCCTTCCTGCATTGCTACAACTCTCGAACTTAGTTGTTTATGAGCCTTCCTGAATCACTAAGCCTGTACTAAATATATAGAGCTTGGAACTGTTCGGCGACCCCTCTGAGTATGGCACGCGGGAACCTAGCCCCTTTCTGACATCGTTGTTTGACCACCCTATCTACATAGTATCCACTAAGGGTTTGAGGAACGGAATGCAAGGGGCAATAATTGCTACGTTTACTGTCAGGCTCATTGCAATGGCTATCCTAGCCTCTGGGTATGTTAGATCCCACGATGAGCCAATCTAGGCTGTATACATTAAACCGAGTTAATGAATTCGAACAGCGATTGCTTGAATGACTCTAGAGATTTGTCGGCTACGCTTGACCATCGTAATGAAAAGCAATGTTTCCTCCTTTTACAGGAGACTTGATATAAACGCAATAACCAAGACTACTTTCTTAGATGCTGGGACCTCCAAGTCTCATACCTATAATAGCGACCAATAGAACCGTGAGTATGACAGCTTGCACAATGTTCATTGCCTTATATATCCTGTAATACGATGACTCGAGATAGCAGTTAGCAATAGCCTGAGCACAGCTCTGTTTCTGGAATGTGGACTTACCTAGTTGATGCATTTGCCATCTATGTATTTCCATGTCTTCAGCACATCGCGTTGGAATACTGTGACAAAAAGGCCGGTACTAAAATGATAACATAACGGCGATCTTTAGGCATGGAGTCTAACTCGTCGCACTAGTTTATGAGACAAAAAGCCCAAACGTGTTCGCTGTAAACACTAAAATCTATGTACGCCCCTGATTACCACTTTGCACCCTTCACTCCCCCTGCTAGCCATACCAAATTTCTAAAAGTTCTTCTGGCCCAAGGAGTGTTAGTAAAGCCCTTAGCGCCGTTCCAATCGGGATATTTCATACATACTAATGCCGAAGTGTGAGGGAGAAATATGGTTGATAGACTAGAGCACAGTCTCGAAATGCCATTGAGAGCCTATCAACTTCCATTTATCGATAATAATTTTCCCCTCCATACTTATATCTTGGTGTACCAAGCAACCCGAGCGGCATAACACTGATTCATAGACACTTGCAACGCGTCGTGAAGACTAGATACCCGCATAGTGACGTTCTGCCATGTTATTGAGCGGCAGCTCGAAATGGTAGTCGCCATGGTCCTTGATACGGTAGCATATGTAACACCACTAGCCTCCTTGCACCACGTCCTTCAAGTAGCATTTCGGGCAGTAGCACAGGCTCGGGTCCGCGACGGCAGTAACAGTTCTTTCGATTCCATACATGGTTTTTTCGCTTTCCAATTTCTGGGATGAACTCGCACACGCTGGCAATACATGATCCTGAAAAAAAGCCCGGGGGCTACATCGATATACTCTGTACTGGGGATCGGTTGAGGACGCTGGGCCGTTTATTTGAATTGTTAGATTAACTGGTCATGGCACGTTGGATCAGTCAACTGAATGAGACTGTATCATTCAGTTGGAGGTTGGTCTGTGTGAAGATAAGAATACTAATGTGTACTTAAAGAAGGTGCTTTTAGACGTCAAATGATTTGAAAAATGCTTAATTCAATTGTTCATGGAAATTTACCCTCTCGAGGTATTTTTCTCTTACGTACAGCCCGTGAAGAAGCATCATACCAGATCGGTATAGTCCTCCATTCTCGGATCCAATGCTTAGCGTATCTGTCAATGCCTCCAGAAGCAATGCTTGTTAGTAACACCATAGTCTACTCAATTGCGCCTTTATCGTGGGATGCTAAATATGGTTCGAAGCGCTGAAGGAACACAGCTGCCACGACTACCTCCTGAAAATCTCCTCGGATTGTGTTCTCTCCAACTGAACTTTTTCGCAGATAAACCTGGAATGAATCTCATTTACTCATGGCGCTTGGACTGTTTCCGTTCTATGGTGGGATGACAATGTCTAGTCATTGAGATAGAGCGAAACATTGTGCCGGCGGCACAGTAGAAGGAATGTCGAGGGCGCATAGCACAGCGAAGAACGCTTAAGCGCACGTCTTAAACTTTTGAGGTCCTTGAAGGCACCCTTCGGATCTAATGGTATAGTAAATCATAGTGAAGTGCTGTACTTGAACGACCTGGGTGAGGAGCACAACGAACTTCTAGAGCGTTACGGCAAGTCGGTGAAGCCGGAATACCATAATTTAATGGAAATCCAATGAAGCAGGTAGTTAACTAAATGTAATTGGTTAGTGTTGCCATAGGGGAACTGTATAATGGTGCAGGACTCGCAAAGATAATGAATGACGTGCGATTCTGCAAGGGCAACCGCGTACTTCCAACACAGATTATCCGCCTCTGTATGATTGTTACGTTACACAGGAGCTTCAGAGAGGTATTTCGCTATTCGCTCGAGCCCCTGCAAATCGCCCTCCACAGTGTTCACCAATTCTTTATCCACCCAGCCGTTCGTATACCCACCTCCAAAATCAACTAAATATGCATTATCAAGCTCGTCAATAAGGACGTTATCAGGTTTCGCGTCTCCCCAGACGATCTGGTGCGCGTGAAGCTCGTGGATCGAATGTGTTATTTGCTGAACCCATTTTTCGCGCAGCAAGGCCTGATTCGGATCCCATCCAGCGCAGAGCAGTGTCTTATTAGCACAGTCGATGTATGATAATAGAAAACCGGCTATTCTCGATGTTACCTCGTCTTCAACTAAGCCGAGGAGTCGAGAGGTGTGCACGTCCTCTTTGAGCTCAGCGGCATGAATCTTAGCGTATGTAGATAGCTCTCGACTAGTCATAGAGATGTCACCTGGTAGTAACTTCTTAAAGAAGCAAACATCCTGTCCCTGGAGGTATACTCTACCAGCCTGTGGCAGGGCCATCGCGTTATCGCTCAGCCGAATATGGATATCACGCGGACGGTAAACGGGGAATGTAGAGCTGTCGAGCCTTCTGGCGGGAGGAAGTAGGACACCAACACGAGCGTATTCTACAGCGGCGTCATTTGGCACTTGAACTGGAACCAGCTCATCCCCAGCCAACTGTAGGGTGTAACTGACTTGTTTGGGAAACAGGCAATCCTGGAGCGTGTACAGTCGTTGGCGATCCAAGGGAGGTATTTCGCGAAATAGCGATAGAAACGGTTTCGTCGCCCATTCGTAGAATTCTTCAAGAGGGTCAACGAACTCATTACCGTCAGGATTCTCTGGCAGAGGCGGAATGTATTCTGGATCCGAGTGTTCTACATGAAGCAAATACTCCTTTAGCAGTCCGGGGCTACCTTCGAAATTGGCAGTGAGCAGGTTAATACAGAAGTGTGTATCGCTGACGAAGACGTTTAGTTCAACGTCGGTGTTATGAATGCTGCTCTCGGTGTTCCCAATCTCGTATAATGGACGCTGAGCCATAGCCGGAGGATAAGATAGGGCCGTGACCTGGGAGGTACCGTCAAATTATATAGATATAGGTTTATATATTCCGTTCAAATTATAGGGCTGAGGAGACACAGTTTGAATCACAGTTGTGCGCGAGGGTGGATTTGTGGCCGAGAGGCTGTCACGTCCGGGCTTGTTACTGTAGCTAATCAGTGTGCTGTCCCCGGTCTATACCTTTTTTAGCGCGACACTTAGTACATGTTATATACATAGATAGAAAAATATTTTTCTATATTCTTTAAATATTATATTTTCTTTAATATCTTTAAAATTAGAGCTCTAGAACTTGAAAGTTTTTTAATAATATCTAAATATACTTACTTCTATATAGACCTTTACTCTCTATATTAAAGAATTAAAAAAAGAGTAGATAGATAAATTATTCTAAGAAAACCTCTATTAGTAGATACTATAGAGAAGAGAAGAAGAAAAAGATTAAAATATAGATTTTTTATTAGGTATATATACTATATATATCTTCTATATACTATTTAGATTCTTATTAGAAGAGTAGTAGCTTTAAGATTTAGTTCTTTTAGTATAGTAGTTAGTATATAAAGCTCTAATTCTTATATATATATATATATATATATATATAAACATAGTATATTATTAAGTTTCTAACTAAATATAGAATATAGAAATAATAGTAATTTTTCTATATAATAATAACGTTATTTTTCTATTTAACTATAATAATAACCGAAACTAGGTATTAACTATAGGCCTAAAGGTAATATACTTTGAACTAGACTTTCTATTAATTAGTTTAACTTTAATTTAACCGCCTTAAGAACTAGTTAGTTTAGTTTAGTTAAGGTCTCTTACTAAGAACTAATACTTTAGTTTAACTTTAATTTAAGATAGTATTAAACTATAAATAATTAAACTAAACTAAAGTATATATATATATATATATATAGACTATAGTATTAAGATTATTCTAATTTTATAAGTACTAGAGTTAGGCCGTAGGCTAACTTCCCTTATTTACTATATATATTAAATACTATCGTGTTAATAACTACACGTTAATAACCTTAATATAGTATTCTAGCGGTCTATTCGTGCCCCTAAGGAGTACTCTTAAGATATATTTAAAAAGTAGTATAGCTAGACCGAGCGTTCGTAGCGTAATATATATATAAAGAAGCCTTAAGATATATCTTAGAATCTAATACTAACTTAAGATACTACTACCTATGACTCGACGATACTATCTCTCTCTAGTATTAGCCCTATTCTATACGAGCCTATATCTACTAATCTATATAGTTATCTAGTTCGAGAGCCCTCTAGAATAGAATTAGATAATATAGATAGCGTAGAAGATCTAGATTATAACTCTATTATTAACCCTAATAATAAGTCTATATATAAAGATATTAATTAGTAATATCTCTTATTCTTTATTAAGTCTATAGAGATAGTTAAGCGGGCTAATAGCTTTAGCTAGATCTAGCGATACGGGTATTATCTCTAATAGATAAATAATAGAGTAAAGTACTAGTGGTATTATATATACTATTATAAGAGACGTTTAGATAGATAATTTAAGGTAGACTTAATAATAAACTTAGTAGAATATCTCTATAATAAATACTCTATATATAGAGATAGGAAAAGGAAGCGTATATAAGGCGACGTACTTAAGATAATAATTAAGAAGTTAAGGATAGAATAGAATATAGTAAATCTACTTATTAAGACTTTCCAATCTAATAGCTTTAATTAATTAATAGCTAAGTAGATTATCCTTAACTCTTAGTCTCTATAGATAATTAAAAATAGCTATCTCTATAATACTATTATAAAGGTAAATCTAGAGATAGAAGTAGTAATATAGCTAAGTATAGATACTCTTAGGAGCTATATTATAAAGATATATATAGAAGCCTCTAAATCCCTCTATAGTATTCTAAATACTACTATCTTAAAGATTTATATCTTATTTAATAGCTAGAGCTTATAAAACTATTATCTCTCTCTATAGTTATATACCGTATACTTTATTAATAGGGATAGTATCTTTATAGATATTTCCCTTAGTCTACTAGAGATTAGAGGTAGCTATACTAGTAAAAACTTTAAGAATCTAATAATAGCTATACTTAAGAGATAGGGGATTAAAGATAGAGTTAGCTACTTCGTCCTTAATAGAGTAAATAATAATACTATAGTAGTAGAACTCCTTATAAAGGAACTCCCTAGTATAGGTAAATATTCACGTCTTTATTACTTTCTATACTATCTTAATCTTACTACCTAGGCGCTTCTTTTTAGTAAGAATAAGAATGCATTTAATAAGTTATCTAAGAATCTTATTACTAAGCTTACCTTCCTTTAAGAATAGCGGAAAAAAGGTCTAATTATAGTACTCTAGTCTATTATCTACTTTATCTATTACTCTACTAAGAGATACTAGAGATTTAAGACTATATAGAAGAAGATTTATAATAAGAACGCGCTTATAAAGGATATAAAGTTTATCCTAGTTTAACTAAAGAAGCTAGTTAAGACGTGCTAGAATAGCTATCACGACTTTATAGAGCGTAGCCTTATATTATAAGCTATAATTAACGAGTTTATTAAGGAAATTCTCTTCTAAAGTTAGCGATATAGTAATCTATAGTAGTCTAACTAAGATCTCTTTATAGATACTAAAGATAAAGACTCTAATAATAAAGTAGTTAACTTAGTAAATAGAATTCTATTATTCGTTATAGAAGGTAGACTTAATAACTATAACTAGAGTATTATTTATATATATATTAATACTCTCTTATCTATTAAGAAAGTACTTCTACGAACTAAAGGAAGAGACTATAAGACTAATTATAGAGTAATCTAGTAAATTCTTCTATTAATGTACTTTCTAGAATTATACTTTAATAACCTTAGGTTTTCTAAATCTACTTCTATTATATCTATTAGTAAAGTATAGTCTAATCTACCGCTTAAAGACTATCTATAGATTATAATTAATAACGCGAGAAGTAAGCTAGTAAAGTACTATAACCTAGTATAATAAACCTTCCTTAATAAGGGTGCGGCTTATCCCTAAAGTAGTCCGTTCTATAGAGTATCCCGGTTTTCCTAAAGGTAAAGGGTACTTAGAAGGCTCCGAGAGGTGTAAGTAGAATTATAGTAAGTATTAATAGAGTATAAATAGTAACTAGCTAGTAGGCGAGTAAAGTAGTAATTATATTAGTATAAGTTTAAATTAATTACTATAGAACTATCTCTAGAGATTAGGTCTAAAGGGTCTATATAGTTCTACTAAGGTTCTCTAATTAGAATGCTTATTCTAAGCGTTTAGTATATTACTTAGAATACTAATATTCTATTTCTAATTACTATATAGATTACTTAGAATACCTATTCTAAGTACCTATGATTAGCTCTTCCTATAGATATCTATCTTGGCCTTAGGTTACTATCTAAGGCTATCTATTATATTATAGGTACCTCTCCTACATACTATACTATCTCTTACGCTACTTATACTAGAGTCTACGTATCCTTCTATGGCTCTAGCTAGTAATTCATTACACCTAGTAAAGGAAAACGTTATATACTATACTACTATATATCTTTATTCTATATAGAAATACTTCTTTAAGTAAGATAATAAGGATCTAGTAGACTTATATCTATAGGTATTATAAGATAGTCTAAAATTAGACTTTCTTATACTCTATTACTTATACTAATCTCTATTAATGTTTAAGCGTATACTAGTAGTATTTAAGGAAGTTTAATCTCGAAGGGACTAGAACTAGTTAATTTAGGGCGATATAGCAATCTATAGATACCAATTAATAGAGTATACCGAGTATAATAACTTCTAATATATATACGTACGTATAGTATATAATATATAATAGTACCAACGTATAGAGATACTATATATATATACTTAAAAACTCTTTAGAGTAATAAGTATAGACTACTACTAATAAACGCTAACATGCTAACCCCCTTTATTAGTTAAGGGTAGCCCTTAACTAATAATTATAGCGGCCTCCGGCACCGATATACTCTAACTTCCGCTAGATATACTTCTACTACTAGTATAATAGAAATAGCTATATAGTAGTATATTCTAGGACGACTAAACTACTATCTAGAAAATAAAAAATAACTAGGGGTATAAAGTACTATAGATAACTAAGATAGGGAGGACTCTACTCGTGGACACCCTTATAGATAAGATTAAATACTAGATAGCACGTGTAGAGAGGGAGGTTAAGAAAGGAGAGACCGCCCTCCTTAATATCTTTTAGAGTCTAGTCCGGAATATTAAGGGGCTTACTATAGAAGTAAAATAGATACTAGAAACGAGTCTAGAGTCTAGACTAGACTAAATTAAGGCTAGTCTACTAAGGATCTAAGAAGGCCTTACCTAGGAGAGATATCTAACTACTTAGATATAAGTCGCGGTACCATTAGATAGTATAACCGGGATAATCTAAATACTAAGAATATCTATAGAAGAAGTATATAGTATATAGATTACTATCTAGGATAAGGAAGTCCTTATATAGGTCTAGAAGGTATCCCTAAAGAATATTATTAATAAGATTAATAAATAAAAAGAAATATAGTTAAATATAGTTATAGCTAAACTTACTCTAGAAGGTATAGTACTAACTACTACTACTAATATAGCCTAGTAGACTATCTCCCGCGACCTAAACGCGATTAATAATATCTTCTCTAGTATATCCGTCCGCGCTAATATATATCTAATATAGATATATATAGTTTCTATCCGGGGATATATTATTAGCGCTAATAATATTAAGTAAATAGAATAATCTAATAACTAGAAATACCCTAGAATTAAGATTATAAAGGCGTGGTAGAAGAATGTATAAGGGATTAAAGTAAAATTAAAAAAATATTCTACTATAATAGTAGAGCTCTAAGACCCCGCCCTCGTCTATTAGATTATATAAGAAGGCTTCTTAGCTAAGAGGAAGTTACTTATAGTAGAACTATAGAATAGAGTATAGGTAATAATCTAATACTTTAACTATTAGAGATATAGATATACTAGGTAGAGATACTCTTAGAAAGCTACCTACGGATAGTACTAATAGAACTACTATATCTAG